AATAAAAAACGTAAAATATTTTAAATAATTTTTTTGAATAAAATAAATAAATAATTGATCAATCATTTATTTACAGTTTTTATAAAAATCAGATAATAATTTGTCTTTAAAAAACTATAAAATAAATGATTAATCAATTATCTATTTATTTATTTTATTCAAAAAAATTATTTAAGATATTTTATATTTTTTATTTATATAACACTTACGTACTTTAGATTTTTATTTAAAATCAAATCAGTTTTGGACAAGGAGGGTATTTCGTACAAACTTTACATTAACACAAAGGAGTTTCACGCAATAAATAAAATATAGGGTGTTTTGTGCATTTTTATTAAAACACAACGGAGTATTATATAATTTATTATTTATTTAGTTGTATTATGTGCTATTTATTTATCAAATATAATATTATCAATCTAATAAATTTATTAAGTAAAATTGTCAATAATTACTTTTAATGATACACGTTACAGAAATATAACAACCATATTATTTTTAAAATTTATAGGGTTTATATATATATTTTTTGTTACAGAATATGTTTTTGCATGTTTTTTGTTTTAATGCATGTGATTTTCCACCGATGAAGTATTGTTGTTTTGTTTATATTATTTGAAGATTATATAATAAGTTTGTATGTACTATTATCATGTTATATTCGTGATATTTGTCTATATATTGCTATTTAAAATATGTTATGATATTCATTTAATAAAATTATTAAATAATATTAATATATTACTTGAAAATATAATCGTTACTTTATTTTTTTTGGGCAGAACAAGAGTTAATGTTATGTTATTCATTTAATAAAATTATTAAATAATATTAATATATTACTTGAAAATATAATCATTATTATTATTTTTTTTTTGGGCAGAACATGAGTTAATGTATTAATTAAAATGATTGTTTAACTCATTCCATTAATGATACTGTTGAATTAAATTTTAATCGAACAAATTATGACTAATCAGTACGCTACTGTAGACAAAAAATTGTGTTATTTTTAATAAACATAAAAATTTGTACAAATTATATTTAATTTGGATTTAAAGTGAGTCATATTATCTAAATAAGTTATTTGATTCTCATTCCAGATAGATTTGTTATCCAACTTGGTTTTCGATGGCTTCTTTGATCCGAAGAGATTTGGTCTTCGGTTTGACTTTGCCAGACTTTGAAGAGTTTTGGTCTCCGTGCGGACGATTTAATCGTCGGCTTTGCTTTAGTTTTTCCGTTTTTGGAAAACTTTGGTCTCCGTGTGAGCGATTCAATCGTCGGCTTTGGATTTGATGTTTTCTTTGAACGATCCGCAGTTTCGATTTTTGGTTTGCCTTTTCCGCTTTTTGGAGGACATCGGAACGCGTGGGCGATTCGATCGTCGACTTTAGATTTGATGTCTTCTTTGGACGATCAAAGGCTTTGATCTTTGGATTGCCTTTTCCGTCTTTTGGAGGACTTCGGTCTCCGCGTGGGCGATTCGATCGCCGGCTTTAGATTTGATGTCTTCTTTGGACGATCCAAGGTTTTGATCTTTTTTTTTGCCTTTTTCGCCTTTTGAAGAGCTTCGATCTCCGTGTGGGCGATTCGATCATCGACTTTAAATTTGATGTCTTCTTTGGACGATCCGCGACTTTGATCTTTTATTTGTCTTTTCCGCTTTTTGGAGAGCTTCGGTCTCCGCGTGGGCAATTCGATCGTCGGCTTTGGATTTGATGTCTTATTTGGACGATCTACGGCTTTAATCTTTGGTTTGCCTTTTCCGCCTTTTGGAGAGCTTCGGTCTCCGGGTGGGCGATTCGATCGTCGACTTTGGATTTGATGTCTTCTTTGGATGATCCATGGCTTTGATCTTTGGTTTGCCTTTTCCGCCTTTTGGAGAGCTTTGGTCTCCGTGTGAGCAATTCGATTCTCGGCTTTGGATTTGATGTCTTCTTTGGATGATCCGCGACTTTGATATTTGGTTTGCCTTTTCCGCCTTTTGGAGGGCTTTGGTCTCCGTGTGGGCGACTTGATCGTTGGCTTTTGGATTTGATGTCTCCTTTGGACGATCCGGGGTTTTGATCTTTGAGAAGGTTGTTTTGGTGCTCCATAACACTTTTTGCGGCGCGTCCCTTTGACTTTTGGATCAAAGAGGGCCTAGTTGATGCTTTGTTGAAGAACTCCCTTCGAATTCTCTTTTGATTGCCCCCCTGATGTATTTGTCAAGTTGGGATTTATGAATGAAGGAGTTGGATGATCCTTAAATGGATTTGGTTCCACCACCTTTTCTTTGCCATGATGTTGCTCCACAGATATTGCCGCTTTATTTTGGGCCTCTGGGAAAGATGATTGCTTTTCGATGGCATGACTGGATTCTTCAGACTTGTCCAGCTTTGTGAGAAGTTTTTCAATGAGGGCGTCTTGTTGTTGCATGTGTTGAGACATCCCTTCAATGATTTTGGTCGATGCTACAAATTGGTCTTCTATATTTGAAGAGTGATAGTCATCACCGAAGTAGAGCTTGATGCGATTGAATGACTTGAAATTGGTCGATGAGTAGGTGGCATGAAGGTGCCTTTGAAGCTTTGTTTTTTCTTGCAGAGCAGATTTTGATCCGTGGTCTTTGGGTCCTCAATATTTGAAGTGTTGTAGTCATCAGCGGAGCAGAGCTTGATGCAGTTGAATGACTTGCAGTTTGTTGAGGGGTGAATAATGCGGCAGTACTCTTAAAATTGTCGTCTTGTTCATAGAGTGGACTTTGCTCTATGATTTTTGGAGGAGTGTCTTCAGAAAACGACAATGCTCTTTTAGTCATGCTTTGTATTGTCATTCCAACATTTGTTGAAGCGCTTGAGTTTTTTGATGCGGTGGATGCAGCGACTCCTTTGGCAGCAGCGGCTTGAGCAGCTTTCGACGCAGCATTGGACGTCTTGATCTTGAAGGAAACCATTGGTTGTTGAAAATTCGTCGGAAAGAGAGATAAAGGTAGAGAAGTCCCACTGGGCGTGCCAAAAATTTGTAGTAAAAAAATTGTGTTATTTTTAATAAACACAAAAATTTGTACAAATTATATTTAATTTGGATTTAAAGCGGGTCTTATTCTCTAAACGGGTCATTTGATTCTCCTTCCGGATAGATTTGTTATCCAACTTGATTTTCGATGGCTTCTTTGATCCGAAGAGATTTGGTCTTCGGCTTGACTTTGCCGGACTTTGGAGGGCTTTGGTCTCCGTGCGAGTGATTTGATCGTCGGCTTTGCTTTGGTTTTGCTATTTTTGGAGGACTTTGGTCTTTGTGTGAGCGATTCGATCGTCGGCTTTGAATTTGATGTCTTCTTTGGACGATCCGCCGCTTTGATCTTTGATTTGCCTTTTCCGCCTTTTGGAGAGCTTCGGTCTCTGCGCCGGCAATTCGATTATCGGCTTTGGATTTTATGTCTTCTTTGGACGATCTGCGACTTTGATCTTTGGTTTGCCTTTTCCGCATTTTGGAGAGCTTCGGTCTCCGTGTCAGCGATTCGATCGTCGATTTTGGATTTGATGTCTTCTTTGGACGATCCGCGGCTTTGATCTTTGGTTTGCCTTTTCCGCTTTTTGAAGAGCTTCGGTCTCCGCGCCGGAGATTTGATCGTCGGCTTTGGATTTGATGTCTTATTTGGACGATCCGCTGCTTTGATCTTTGGTTTGCCTTTTCCGCATTTTGGAGAGCTTTGGTCTCCATGTGAGCGATTTGATCGTCGGCTTTGGATTTGACGTCTTATTTGGACGATCCGCTACTTTGATCTTTGGTTTGTCTTTTCCATATTTTGGAGAGCTTCGGTCTCCATGTAAGCGGTTCGATCGTCGGCTTTGGATTTGATGTCTTCTTTGGACGATCCGCAGCTTTGATATTTGGTTTGTCTTTTCCGCTTTTTGGAGGGCTTTGGTTTCCATGTGGGCAATTTGATCGTTGACTTTTGGATTTAATGTCTCCTTTGGACGATCCGCGGCTTTGATCTTTGAGAATGTTGATTTGGTGCTCCATAACACTTTTGGTAGCGTGTCCCTTTGACTTTTGAATCAAAGAGGGCCTAGTTGATGCTTTGTTGAAGAACGCGATGAGCATTTTGAAGCTTTGAGAGGAACTTTGAAGATCTTTCCGTGGCTTTGACGAATTCCTCAATGGCTTTGGGAGCTTTGATCATTCCTCCGGCTTGGGCATACGACGATGAACGTTAACTTCAGCGATTTGTCAACCAATATTGGATCATTTATCTAAATTAATGACTTTCGATGAAGAACGCCTCGAAGGACACGAAGAACAATACATATAGAGTTTAGAGACTTACCCCTTTGCTTGAATCCTCGATGTAACTTCGGTGTCTCATGAACTGCCCATGGCTCTTATTTATAAGGAAGGGGTGGTCTTGGCTTCCTTTTCGAATGGTGCCACGTGGCGTGTCTTGATTGACCAATAGGAAAGTTTTATAATCTTTCATTTTTCATCAGATGTCGTTTTCCATTCTTGAAGGATTTGATTGCGTCGCATTCATTTCTCGCCAAGATCTTTATATCCTTGCCTTTTTCGGAAGATATTAATTTATATACTTCTTTTAGTAACAATATTAATTTATTTTTCTGTCAAATTTATTATGGTGACAATATTAATTTATTTTTCTGTCAAATTTATTATGGCTCTATTTATGCACGTAATATTTGTACGATATTTTTAATTTTAAACAAATTTTTGCATTAATAATTCATATTTATTGTACAAAATTTAATATGTATGCATAATTAAATACCACATATTTATTTTATTTTGTAATAAACAAACGCACCCTATTTATCGTTTCTTAACGTGTATGTATTCAATCATAATTACCAAACAGAAGCAATGGAAACAAAAGCACCGAAAAGTCAAAGAAAAGCAGCTAGGTGGGTGGGTGCGTGGAGATATGCTGCTCGCTCTCCTTATCGTCTTCAATTCAATCAAATCATGAATTCAATTCAATCCTTCGTCGTCTTCCCCGCACCCAATCGCCATAACCATAACCATAACTATAACCAGTTTCACGAGCTCACCAACAAATCCTCCTTCCGCATTGCATTGCATTCAATGCTGCCATTAAAATCAAACCTCTCCTCAACCCCCAACACACATGTATTCAATTAATCCCTCACCTGCCATGCCATGCCTTCCCTTTTGCCCCAAATTCGTCTATATATATAATTCACCAGCTTTTCAGTCCTAACCCTAATTCGACGAACAGCTATGGACCTCTCGTATTATTGCACTACCTCCCAATTTAAATACGCGGTGCTAGCGGTTACTACTACGGCGTCGTACCTGATATTATTAGGTTCCGCCGGGAAGGTTCCGGGCGTGATTGTGTTCGGAGATTCCTCGGTAGACGCCGGAAATAACAACCAGATCTCGACGGTGCTGAAGAGCAATTTCCGGCCCTACGGCCGCGATTTCTTCGGCGGGCGTCCGACCGGGAGATTCTCGAACGGAAGGATTCCGCCGGACTTCATCTCGGAGGCGCTGGGGCTGAGGCCGTTCGTGCCGGCCTACTTGGATCCGCAGTTTAACATATCGGACTTCGCCGCCGGCGTTTGTTTCGCCTCCGCCGGCACCGGTTTTGACAACGCCACTTCTAACGTCCTTGTAAGTACATACATACATACAAATACATAGACACATACATGTATACAGTTTTCTCTAGTTCTTTTTTTTTTTCTTTTTTTCTAATTAATGTTTGCGTTAGTTGCATGATTTTTTTTTTCTAATTCGACTGTTTATTCAATTTTTTTTCACTAAAACATATTAAATCAAACATTTATTTTTTTATTTTTTATATTATATTAAAAATCAATTTTACATTCAAAATATCACATCAACTCCTGTTTATATTACATCATACAATTATTCAAACTCAAAATTTTTACTATTCAAATCCCAACTCAAAATCCAAACACCCAAACAAACACACTTTTTTTTTTAATCGAAAAACACAATTTTAAATTTATAATTCGGTTCGTTTAAGGCTCGGCTGGATAGAGATTTTTATTATTTTTTATTTTTAAAGTTTCCAAATTTTCAAACAATATTCCCTTGTTTAAATTTTATGTTTGAATGAGAATGTTAATGCGATTTTGTATTTAATTATTTTTTATTTTTATGGTAAAAGAATATAAAAATGAGTACTCCCTCTATTTCACTTCAATTTTATTTTTATTTTTTCTTTTATTTTATTTATTTATTTTTTAATTATAGTAAAAATAATCAAACTAATATATTATTATATAAAATTTAAATATATTATACACATACATATATAATATAAAAAATAATAGTATTAAAATTATTTTATATATATTAATTAATTAATAAAATATTACTATTTTTTAATTTCCCGCAATAATATAAATAGTCGCCTTAAATTAAAACTGATGAAATATAATTTTTACTTAAAAAAAATATAAATATTTTAAGGGAACAAACAAAAAAATAAAAATAAACGTATATGATAGAAAAAAATTATTATTTCAATATAATATTTTAATAAAAATATAAAAAAGTTAAATAATATCAATATTTTAAAAGTATTACGTAAATGTTTTTAAATATAAAGGGATCCGTACATCCAACTTAAAATCAATCAGTGTGATAGGTGGAGTGTCCTCTATTCTTATCCTTATATATTATGATAGTTCTCACATATTTAGCAATATGGGAAATATTCAACATAAACAGAGTTTAAATTTTTATAAATTTATTATAAATATATAGTATATAAATATTATCCGAATATTTTAAATCAAATTAATTTTAAATTTTAATATAGTATATATTTTTAAAAAGAAAATGTTATAGATAGGAACAGTGTATGTGTCCATAGAATACACATTCATCAGGGTTTTTTTCTTTCCTGAATCCATCAGGGTTTATGTTTGATATGTGTTTAATGTTTTAGGGTGTGTTTTTAGGAAGTTAGGGGAAATTTGAGAGTGGGATTGATTTTTATTTGAATTTTAAGGGAGTTTAAATTTATGTGTTTCTTTTGTGTTTGGTTTTGGGATGAGTTTGGAGAGTTTTGATATATATTGATTTGATGATAATGAATATAATAATATAAATATGTATTAATTTGTATAATTTGATTATAAATTTATATTATATGTATATATATTTTTAAATTTTTATTTATTTGTATTATAAAAAATTTTATTCTCTAAAAAATAACATATTATATTGTATATATTATATTAAATTATAATTATTATAAATTTTTAATATTTATAGTTTCTTAGAAAAAGAAGAAATAAGATGCGTATCAGGTGTGTCCTCCAGAAAATCCAGTTTTGGACTGGATTACTGTGTAAACAATGTTCGCTTTGGGCTAAATTACTATGCAAAAATACTATTGCGCAGTAATCCAGCTGAAAACTGGGCTGGAGAAACACACCCTTAGTTTAAGGGTGTGGCTTTTTTATTCTGAGATATGAATATTTATGTTGATAATGCTCCTTCACTCACCGTTTTTATTGATAAATTGATTTTTAGTGTGTGATATAAGAAATTGTGTAAAAAATATAAAATATATTATTTTGAATTTAATATTTTGATTTTTTTTTAACTTTTTGATTTTTATAAAAGATAATTTGTATTAATTATTATTATTTTTGAAGAATTGTAATTAAAAAAAGTATTGAGTGAACAAAGTTGTTTTGTTTTTTCTAATTTTCTTTCTGTACATTTTTTTCAAAATAATTAACAGATTACAAATATTTATTATTTTTATATTCCCTATACTCTACGTAAAAAATAAAATTATTTTTCAAATATCTCACAAAACAAACACATCCTTAATATTTTGTATTGAATTATAATTTTGGTGAGACAATAGACTATGTATCATGGACACGTTTGGATTGGTGTAAAAATAAGTAGAAGGAAAAAAAAAATGTCAAAAGCAAAATTAGTTGGATTTTATATTTGAATAATGTTTTATAATAATACATTTTTGGAAAATAATATTTGAATTTAATAAAATTGAATATTTTTTTAAAATGTCAAAAGTACAAAAAAGAGAAAATGTTAGTATAGATATATTTTTTATTAAATTTTTTATAATTTATTGTTCAATTGTATTCATTATATTTACAAATTTTAAGGGTTAATTATGTTTCTATTTCAAATTGAATCAAATGATATTTATTTTTAATAAAAAAATACTATTTTTTTAAAAAAATATTATGTTAAAATACTATTTAAATAAAAAATTTTAAACTACAGTGCTTATACAGTAACAGCTTTCACCAATCTATTAAGTATAAATGTTTCAGAATTTTTGTAAAATATATTTTAAATATTTTATCATTTCTAAATCACAAATAGAATAGTACAAACTTTTTAAAAAATTATATGAGAATTATAAACAATTTTGCTTGAAATTTATCCAAAATTATATGCATTATTATTATTATTATTATACCTAAGATTTTTTTTCTTTGAACAGAATGTGATACCGTTGTGGCAAGAACTTGAATATTATAAAGAGTACCAAAAAAAGTTGGTTGCCTATGCCGGCGAACAAAAAGCCAAAGATATAATAAACGAAAGTCTCTACATAATTAGCGTCGGAACAAATGACTTTCTCGAAAACTACTATACTCTTCCTCGGACACGCTCCAAATATAAGTCTATCGTCCAATTCCAAGACTTTTTGATCGGCATGGCCGAGAAGTTTGTCCGAGAGTTACATGGTTTGGGAGCTCGAAAAATGTCCTTGACCGGCTTACCCCCGATGGGGTGCCTTCCGTTGGAACGGGCAAGAAACTATGTCAACGGGAATGGGGACGGGTGCTTCGATGGATATAATGTCGTCGCTCTTCACTTCAACCAGAAGTTGAATGGATTGGCTGAGAAAATGAATGGTGAATTGGAAGGGATAAGGGTCGTATTTTCGAACCCTTACGATGTGTTTATGGACATTGTTAAAAAGCCTTCACAATTTGGTAAGCTAGCACTCTGTTATATATATGCTTTTTAAAGTTAATGTTATTCACTAACAGTAATTTTTTTGGAAAATTATTAAATTAAAATATTTTTTATTTTACAAAATATTATACGACATTCTTATTTTTATACTGTTCCTAAATTTCATTAAAAACTCCAAAATTTCTATTCAAAGATAAGAGTGCGTTTTTGAACCCTTACAATGTTTTATGAACATTGTAAAAAAAAAACCTTCATTGCCTAGTCATCTAGTACTCTATTTTATTTAAAGTTCTATCTACGTATACAATTTTTTAAAATTTTGAGTTCATTGACAATATTTATTTATTTTTTTCTTAAAAAAACTCACATTAATTTTATTTTTTTATCTCATAAAATATCATATCATATATATAATCTTTTATTGTTTCCAATGTTTTTCAAAACCTTTCAAACTTGTTTTCGTATTAGTCTTAAAATATTATATTTATAAAAAAAAAAGTTACATTCAAAACTTATTGTTTTTTTTTTAAAAGAAAATACTATATTAAAAATGTATTATCTATTTAGCAATAAATTTCAAAACACTTATAAAAAAACCGTATCTTTGCGATATTTTGCATCACTCCGTGTTATTAAACTTAATCATGTATTTGTAAAATGCATGTAGGGTTAAATTTAAAGAGCACAACATCGATGGTTGCATACTACATTTTCCAATAATTTTATGATCGTATTGCATTATTTTGAATTGACTCGAATATTTATGAAATGTGTGTAGGGTTTGATGTGGCATCGGTTGCTTGTTGCGCAACGGGAGTATTTGAGATGGGATATTTGTGCGACCAAATGAATCCTTTTACGTGTTCGGATGCAAGCAAATACGTGTTTTGGGATTCTTTCCATCCGACTCAGAAAACCAGTTCCATCGTCGTCGATTACATGATGAAACATAGTTTGCATGAATTTTTATAAATGCATGTACTTGTTGATTATTGCCATAATTATTGTGTGTTTATATTAGTTATGTGCTATAATTATATAAAGGAAGTGGATTTCATATAATTAAGTATGTTTTGTGTGGTTGTGTGAATATTTACACTTCTAAGAGAATAATAACGTGATTTTCGTTTGAATATAAACTTTTTTTTCTTTCATTTAAATTTATCTTTCCATCAATTCATCAAATTTGATGCTATGTATATCTATATATGTCCATAAACATAATATCATGTAACCCATGTTATTATGCACGAGTGACTGATTACATAATATAATATTTAATTTAATTTTATATTTTAAATAATTTTTTTTTTAACAATTGTACATGTATATATATATATATATAAATTTTGGATATGAAAATAGCTAAAATTAATTAATGAAAAATACGGCTATAGACATAATTAATATTAAAATAAAAAATAAAATGAATCAATGAGATAAAAAAATAAATCATGATATAAATAAAATTTAAATTCAAAGAATATACAATAAACCTAAATTAAAAACTACTTATCGAATCCATATTGATTTTAAAATATATATAAATTTGAAATATATTCATACTGTATCGAAAAAAAATTCTTATTTGTTTGTCATTGTATTATCTCACAAAATTAAAACTAAAATTTAAAAATAAAAACCTCGACGGCGCTCAAATGAAGTTCATATTTGATGAGCTCCTGGAGCTTGAGTCGTCATTTGTCTCGATCACATATGCTATCAGTGATCGATTATACTCTCCGTGATCGGGACTCAACAGGTTGCCTGAATCAATTGGGCTGAAATGGTAGCAAAAGGCGCACAGAGAGTGTGCAGGAGCGTTCTGACAGTGCAAGGCACCCGGACAAATGCAGAAGGCTCTTAGAAAAATGCATGTGGTGCCTGGACTAATACAGATAACACTTGAACTGATGCATAAATCACTCAGATTGATGAAGAGGCGCCTGAACTAAGGCAGAAATCACCCGGACAAATGCAGGTGGCGTCTGGGCTAATGCATATAGCACCTGAACTGATGCAAGAGGCGTCCGAACTGAGGCAGAAATCTCACCTGGACAAATGCAAGTGGCGCTTGGACTGATGCAAATGGTGCCCCGACTGATGCGAAAGTCACTCAGGTTGATGCAGAAGTTGCCTGGATAGACATGGTGTTCAAATAGGTGTGTGGGGCTATCACATGTATTTTCCAGAAAGGTGGGTGCTATAAGATATAATTTTTTAAAAGGCGGGGTGCCTCAAGATATATTTTAGATAGTGCGGACGTTGTCATATGTATTTTTCAGAAGTCGAGGCACTGCCAGATATATTTTGATGGTCCAGGCGCTTTCAAAAGGTGGGGCACTGCTAGATATATTTTGGATGGTCTGGGTGCTATCAAATGTATTCAAAAAGGTTTGGGCGTGTTTTATGGAGGAAGAATGGGCGCTCTAACTCTGATTGAAATATTACATTTTTTTTTATTTTATCGGATCTAATCTAGGAAGTTAAATTATTTCTAAATTTAGAAAATTAGAAAATAACTTAAAAAATACTCTTCCGTCCCACTTACCGTGTCCACCTTTTACATTTTCTTCTGTCTCACTTATTCTGCACTTTCTTTGTTTGGAAAAGTATTATACATTTTAATCTCATTTTAAAATTTTTAATTTAATTTTTTTTAATTTTAATTATATTAATTAGTTATCTTCATATTAATTTAAAATTATTTTTTATTAAATAATAATTATTTTCACTAATACATTCTTAATTATTTACTAATTATACTTCTCCTAAATTCTCGTGTCTACAGTAAGGGACGCGATACCTGGGACGGAGGGAGTAATTTAATTATGATTATTTTAATGTGATCAAGTGCTAAAGCAACTCGTTATCGACTACATAATCAACTTGGTATGATTTTATACTGAAAAGTTGTTTCTCTTCTCATTGTTAGTAGAGGAGAACGCCGTGTCAATTCGTAAGACAATGTTTAGATATTATAAATAGGTTGATATACAAAGTTTATATTTTCTTCTTATTTCTACAATTTATTTAATTTTTCTCACAATTCTCTATTTCCTCTAATTTTTTACTACCAAACGTCTGGCTATTGCGTCTAGTATGAATTAAGAATTTAATCACTCTAATTCCTCCATAAAGAATCCATTGGTTATCATCTGGTTGGAAATTTTCAACCCACGGTAATATTTTAGAACGCCCATTGGGCTAATAATTTGTTCCTCACGGAAAATCATTATGAATTCATCATATTACGATAAGGAAGACTACTACATTGCCTGATGGCTCATTCCAGAACATTAACATCGATGGACGAAACCAATGTTATTCAAACGCCATCCTCAGGTCTTCCACTACCCTCAGCATCCATTCCGAAAGGGTTCACTCCGACTCGGATGGAGAGGACAGTGCCATCTAATGTCCAAGAAGCATAAAACCTGGCCACCTACGGTAATATGGCCGTACTATCCGAAGGGATTTGTTAGCAATTCATCTATAGTTCTGGCTATAACCCAACAGATAGCGAGTACAAGCACAACCCCACCAACCTCCCGAATCGAAGGTGATGTTGGAACATATCAACTACAGCCATTTACTTCGGTCGAATTTGGGAATCATGGCCAACACTGGCCGTAAGTGTATGTACCATTACTTATAGACGCCAAAACAAAACAAAATTTCATATATGATGTTTGTGGGGAGAATTTTCCCGAATCTACAAACTTATTGAAAGAAAGTGACGGAAATGACCGATTTAAAATTGAGTGTGATTGCAATAAGAGAATGTAACTCGAGAATCACTAATTGTCCGTTGGACTGCTGACATCTCTTTTTATGAGAATTTTGATTTGGTTATCTGCAAATGATGATGAACCATAATCGAAACTGGTTTCACCTAGTGAAGATGACCGATTGTTTGTTGTTTGTGGTTGTATCACGGATGACCGATTTGGGGATGATTTTGAAACTGCCTTAAATCTAAATCGACAAGCCCTTCTATCTAAGGTTCTCCGTCTCGGCCTAGTCGGAACCAGAATGGCCTGGACCATTCCAATTCCGACAGAAAAAACCGATATTTGAGTTAGGATTTTTTGGGAAAGAAGATGGAAAATTCTATGGGTAGAAGAAGAGGAAGAAGGATATGGATAAATAAGGGAAATAAAAAACAAAAATAAGTGGAGAAGAAGAAGAAGAAGGCGGTGTGTTGTCGTCGTGTTGTATGTTGCTGCTACACGTAGGAAGAAGAAAAAGAAGTGTAAGGGGTTTTAAAATAATTTGTATAAAATACATTCACTATTATTATAAAATACTAATAAATTTATTGAGGTGACAGGAATGACCGATTTAAAATTGGGTGTGATTGCAATAAGAGAATATAACTCGAAAATCACCAATTGCACTGACATCTCTTTTTATCAGAATTTTTATTTGACTGGTTGCAAATGAGGATGAGCCATAATCGGAATAGGTTTCATCTAATACGGATGACCGATTTTATATTGTTTGTGTTTGTATCATGGACGACCGATTTGGGAATGGTTTTGAAACTGCCTTAAATCCAAAATGATAATCCCTTCTTTCCATGGTTCACCGTCTCGGCCGAGTCGGAGTGAGGAGTAGTAGAGTGTTGTATCAAGGAAATTTAAATCAATTACAAGTGACTCCAAAAGCTAAGAGGATGGCGAGATGGACGAATTATCCTGGATTCCTCAAAAAGGGGATGATGGAAAATTAATATAGATGGATCGGCATTTGGATACCCTAGGGATGCAGAGATTGGGGCAGTGGTTCGTGATGATACTAGAATGATCATATTGTTGTTATCTAAATATATAATTGTGTCAAACTCGATAGTAGCAAAGGTAGAGGCTGTCAAACAAGTCCTTGAGAAGATTCGTAACTCAATGGGTTTTCCGATTCCGAAGATAAAGCTGAAAAATGATTCAACAACCGTGGTGGCGTGGCTTCAACGGAAAGCCCAATTCCCGTGGAAGTTGGACACCGAAATACAGGTAATCCTTAGCTCCCTTGACCATTGTTTGCAACTGAAGTTGTCCATACATTTAAGAAGCTAATTGCTTGGTAGACGAGTTGGCGAAAAGGGGAGCGATGAGAATTCCATATTTGATTTCATGGATTTAAGCATACTTAATCTCCTCCTTGCGGTCGAGCTCTGTGCTAAGTTCCATAGATGTAGTGGACTGTGGAGACACTACAAAAAAATAATATATTTGCAACGGAATTCCGTTCCTAATGTTCACGTAGCTAATGTAATTTCATTCTTAATTCCGTCTCTAATGTCATTAGTAACGGAAAAGGTAGATTTAGAGACAAAAAAGTTTTGTTACAAAAATAATTTTTTCTTGTAGTGAGATGGCAGAGAGTCTGATAACTTTTCTTAGTCGTTCTGGAGAGACATATGATAATGGTTACGTTGGTTCAAGAGGAATTTTAGAGTTGTATCAAGGAATTTCAGCATGCTCCTGCTGGTGGAAGAAAAGATGGGTTGGGGATTAGCGCAATGATCGAACCTCCACAACAACATTTTTCAGGGGCTATCAGATAACCCTTGATTATGTCATATTTTATATTTTATATATAATTAATTAATTAATTACTTATTTATGTCGAGTTTTAGTATAATTTATATTAATTTATTCTAATAATTATATTTATTGCATCTTGTATGCAAAATATTAATTTATTAATTTTTAAGTATATTTTATAATTATTATTTTGTATAAATTAAATTAATTGGAGTGTTCCTTGAATTATGTTTTTATACATTATTTACGTGTTATTTAAGTATTTAAATTTGACTAAATTAATATTATTTAATAAGTATTATTTATTTAAATAAATATTTATAAGGTGTTTATTATTTATGCAGATAAAATAATGTTTGAAAACTAGTTTTTTAGTCCAAAATTGGCCTTAAAAAACAAAAAAATGGCTTTAAAGCCAAAATAGCCACTGGTGCGCAAATCAACAGTCAACGCAAAAAAGTCAAAGTTAATGTTGGCGCGAAAAGCAGCGAACACGGAATTCTAGTGGCGGTTGCACAAACATGAGCGGACACGGAATCTGTTTGGAGCAAAAATTTTTGCATGGAGGCGAGCAAAGCGATGGCTGCAATAACTCTGCATGGAAAATGAGCGGCTGCTATGCGGAATCCGTGAGCAGCGGCTGCATTTATGAGCGCGGAATTCATGAGCGAAGTGGAAAGCCATGCATGAAATTGAGCGAAGTGGCGACGCATTTATTATTGCTGGTCAGCGGTGGCTGCATTAATGTCGCTGGTCAGTGGTGCATTAACTTAGCGCGGAAAGCAAGCAACGGCTGGGTCAACGGAAAATTAACTCTGCACAGGAAGCAGAGCGGCGATTGCACAGAATTCCTGGCTACATTTATTTTCGCTGGCCAGCATTAAATATGTCTTTTGCACCCCCCCAGCTGCTGCATTTACTGCACAGCACTCTCCCAACTGTCCCATTTAATTCCTGTATCATTACTTGGCCAATTTTTTGTTATTTTGTGTATTTTTATTATGGAACCTTTTACAAGATAGGTAGTTACTAGTAAGTTATAAGTAGTTATTTTTAGAAGTAGTTATTTATGGATGATTGTAACCTTCAAATTTTTAGAAGATTTCGTCCTCTATAAATATCCTCTCTCATTGTATATTTTATATACATGGATATACACACAATCCATCATTTCATACACTTAATTTTCTCTATTTCTTCTCTTTCATATATTTATCTAGTTTAATAATACGAGTTTTCGGTTTTGTATCGCGAGCAAGTTGATTTTCTCCCAATTTTCTTTTGATTCCTGCCTATTATTTTAGTAAAAAAATTCATATCATACTTCTCCATCTAACTTTCACCCAAAAATTTCATGTTCGCAATTGAATATTTCAAGCTAGAGTTTCGACAATGTTGTGGAAGGGCAGCAGAAGGCTTAACTATCCATACGTATGATCACGTCGTATTCATTAACAGAGATTAGGCGGTTCGTAGCAAATAAGTACGCGAGAACCTTGTCGATCTGCTTAGTTGTGAGCCGAATTTAACCCCGATTAAAAAGAGGCATCAGATGGGTAGAGCCACTAGCGAAATAATTCATTGGACATAGGTGCTTGCCTATCGGGTCACAAAAATATCCGATGATAGTGGCTTTTCTAGCAAATAATGTTCTCCGTCGGGTGTCGCTGAAGCCTCGCTGTAAATCCCCTAAGGTCAAATACCAACCGAGTTGAGAATCGGGCTTAAGCGAACAAATGCGATCACATTCCTTCCTCTAAATCGTTCCACAATCATACATATATTATCGGCTAGCACACCATCGTCATCCCGCTCATTTTATCCATGAAATTATAGCTATTGAGGAACGCAAAAGTCACAAACAAACATCTCGTTCCATCCTCTTATATTTTATTGTTTTTTAGTTATATTTAATTTCAGCAAATTTATCTTTCCAACCATTTGATTGCATTAACTTATTGCATTTTTCTAATTAAATATAAGATATTTTCATATTCCCTAAGTTCGATCCGGACACTCACCGGTTAAAGAGATTATTATTTTTGATAAACTTTTTTGAATTTATTATACGAACATACACGGCACCATTTTCACTTTATATCTATATCATTTTTTATATCTTAAAAATGGGTTGAGGATTGACGCAATGTTCGAAACAAAAGTCTTCATCCGAGGTATTAATTTTTCCACAACTGTATTATTCTAGGGCTATCATAAGGGGAGGAATCGGATTTCAGGGGTGATTGTTTCATCTGCTTGCAATGGTATTTTGGTTCTGCATCTGTGTTTTGGTTATCAGGTTAAAGCCTGAGTATTATTTCTGAGTTTTTTTGTTGGCAGTGTTAGACTAAATTTATAAGGATTTGCTTATGACTTTAGTGGAGGATTATATTGAGATTTAAGTTGAAGACTAATAGAGTAAATATTGTACTTGTATTGAAGTTATTTTTGGAAGTTAATAAATTATTTGTTTTTTTTAAAAAATTAATTTCAAACAAAAAAAATATATACAAATCCATAAGAAATTTTTCATTTGAGTTTTGTCTTTATTATTATTTTTTTATTATGCAATTTATAAAAAAAAATACCTTTTTTATATAAAAATATTATATATATTTATAATCATTAAAATATCACTTCAATTATTTATTTAATTTTTTTTTTATTCAAAACAAGTAGAAATTATACTCATAATGCCATATAAATTACGGACGCGTCTGGTTCGTAATATAATATATATATTTTTTTAATTTTGATTTGAAATTTTTATTTAAATACCAAAATTTATTTTTACTTTCTCTCTCTTTTTTTTTTTTTTTTTTAATTCAAACTTATTCCGGTTTTTATTTTTAGTAAAAAGAAATACAATATTTTATATTTTTTTTACCATAGAAAAAATTTCTTTTTTATTTTTATTCATTTTTTTAAAATCCGTGTCCAGTCAAATGAACATAAATTTACATGACAGAGAAAATAATAATTTAGATATAATATTTTATAAAATAAAATACTCAATCCGTTCCAATGCAATAGTCATTTTTGTCCATAAAATTATCTTTATTTTTTCATTATTATTACACAATTATCACTATTACCCATTATCAATAAAATATTAATATTTCTTAATCCCAGTACCAAGTCCAACTCAAACTATACTTCTGAAGAGTAATATATTTTATATGAAATATGGGTTTGTTTTTCTTTATATTTGATTTTAATTTTTTAATTTTTATTTTAGGAAGTTAGTTTTATTAAACTATATGGATTGTGCAGGACTTCCTCCGTCAGTGTTAGCTAATTTTTTTTACTTTTAGTTGGCGACAGTTTTCGATATAATATACTAGTAAAAATAATTACGATATAATAGAAAAGAATAAATTATATATCATTATTTTACGTTTTAGTAAAAATGCACAAAATTATTTATTGTGTGAAACTGCCGTTGTGTTAATATAAAGTTGGTACGAAACACCATTTTTCTCCAAAATTGATGTTTGATTGTAAATAAAGACCTAAATTACACAAATTTTAAAATATTTTAAATAATGTTTTGAATAAAATAAATAAATAAATAATCAATTAATTATTCATTTTATAGTTTTTTTAGTCGAATTATTATATAATTTTTACAAATATTATAAAAATAAATGATTAATAAATTATTTAGAATCAAACATCACTTTTGGACAATGAAATGTTGGTGCAAATTTTACATTAACACAAATAATTTCACTTAATAAATAAAATATGCATTTTTAGTAAAACACAATGAAGAGTTATATAATATATTTTAATAAAAATAATTATAAATTAAAATGATTAAATAATTTAATTAAAATAAAAAATTAGAAATTATAAATTTTAAAATACGATTGAAATATAAATATATATTTAAAAAAAAAAAAACAAAAGAGACCATTTATATGAAATATAGAAATATAAAAAAAATGGATAAGTTAAGTAGTGCCTTCTACGAGACAGTATTAATTTTGATTTAGACATCAAACCAACTTTGAATAATGGAAGAAACTAAAAATAATAATCTGATAAAATAGATAAAACATATGACAGGGGTGGACGATTTATTCACGAAGGATAACTCAGCGTTAGAGTGAAAATTGCAATTTTGATATTTCTAAGGATGAAAGTGATATTTTAAAATTTGAGTGCAAATTGCAAGCGAAGCGAAGAGAAGGTGTTCTTTTAATCTGCTGGAGACGTCCCCACCGTAAATCCAGTGCGACTCCGCCGATGGACGTCCTCTTCGACACCATCAACGTCCGGGATCTTCTCTCGTCGCCCGAATCTCCATCGTCGCCGCTATCGGCGCCGGATCTCCGTCTCCTTATCTCCCGCCTCGACTCTCATTCTCTCCGGATCAAATCCACCGTTCAATCATACCTCCTCTCCCACCACGCCGATTTCGAGTCGCTCTTCGCCCAGTGCTCGGACGTTGTTTCTAAGTCCGACCGCCTCTCCGACGACGTTGTCGCGCTGCTGAATCTTATATCCGGCCAGCCGATCGAGGCGGATGTCGGAAGGATAGTCCGGGAGATTGTGGAGAAGAGGCGGGACGCCAGGGAGAAAAGGGAAATTCTGGAGTTTGTGGAGGTTGCTTTGGAATTGGACAGAAAATTAGGGATTGTTAGGGATGATGTGAAGAATGGGAGAGTGGTTGAGGCTGCGGAGGGGTTGAGAGAATTGAAGATAGGTCTTGGAGTAAAAGGCAATGGCGATGCAGATGCGGCGGCGGAAGGTGAACCGGCGGTCTACGGAATCCTCAAAAAGCAATGGGCCGACTGTTATGAGGAGGTAATCAATCAGTACTAGTAGTCTTTTCTTCTTCCTTTATGATGTGAAAATCGGATCAAGGAAGGGTTCGTTTGGTAGATAATAGAGAATATAATTGCATAAAAAGGGATTTCAATGATGATAATTAATTCTTGTGTTTGGTGAAAGTGAAACATAGAATTCAGCTAGAAATGTAGGAGAAGATATATTGCTTTCAGAAAGACAAAAAGAAGATGAATCGATCATGGATGGTTAAGAGATAGTTTTATTGGAGTGGATATATGGTGTGCTTATTTGCTTACTCTTATTTTTATTTTTGGTTTTGATTTGAATAGGAATTTGAATGTGATGGTTTAGGGACAATTGTGAAATTTGAAGAATAGAAAAAAAAAAATGAAAAAAATTACCAAATTAATATACTACTCTGCATCTTCTTAATTTTCATTTATCTCGATTTGTTTTTTGTATAGAAGAGAAATGGAAACATAGAATTAGAAATAATTCATTTATCAATTAACTCAAACAAACAAGAGAAATAAAAGATATAAAAAAAATAGAGATATTTCCCTGTAACAATCTCACCCTAAGTGATTTTTATTGGCATTGTTCGACATAGTTAAAAGGACATGAAGTCATCTACATGTTCTGAACTTGATAATCATGTAGATTCTACTTAATCAGTTCATGTCTCAACTCTCATTCTGTCACTTGAAAATGTTCTCTTGGATTTTGATATTTTTCATTGTTACAAACAATTGCATTCTTGATCTTTGGGCTCCACTGCTAATAAGCTGTAGCGATTTTATCTAATTTATGATTGTTGTTTAGTGCCATTCAATTTGGATGTAGATTCAAGAGTTGCTTTTGAAGTTTATGGAGAGTGCGGTAAGGTTTGAACAGGAAGATAGTGCAGTTCATGTGAAGCAGCACACAACCATTGGTGGAATTAATGGGCTTGAACTGTACACTGTTTTGGAAGCAATGGATGTGAGTTAATGTTATTAATGCCAACTTTTATACTGAATTTTTTTGGAACACTCTTTGCTTTGTGTTTGATTTCTTAGCAGTAGCAATGTCTTGTTTTGCCTGTCTCTGTGTAGATTGCTGGCATCCTCGATTATGGGCTTGCAAAGATCGCTGATTTGGTTACAAAGCATGTGATTACACCATCGGTGAATTTTAAGGCAACACCATCAATTGAAGAAGAAATAAATCAGGATTTGGTCCCAGAGGCAGTTCTTAAGATGGTTTCATCAGGTGATTCTGAGGTACATTTTATATAAATGGTCTCAAAATTATTTTCCTCATGTACACTAGGAATTTCTACTACCTTCACGCATCATTGAATGCGACAGAACCATTTACTGTAAATCAGAATGTGTTTTCTCAACTTATTTGCAGGGAGATAGGGTAGATGGTGAAACTATGTACTCAAACATTGTTAAGGTAATTGAATTCATCAACAAATTCATATGCTTTAGCAATGGTTCTTGGATGCGCTGCTTTGGAAGATTGACGTGGCCAAGAATGTCAGATATGATCATTTCTAATTTCCTCTCTAAGGTCTGTCATTTAGTTTTGACACCCAAAAATAAGTAGGAGAAACAAATTTTAAACTCGTAAGATGATTCAGTATTTCCTATATTGGTTTCAGGTTGTTCCTGACGATGCCTCCAAGCTGGCTGAATTCCAGGAGATCAGGAAACACACCATTGCTTTTGAGACAATTTTACAGGAACTTATGTTCATTCCTCCTTCTGACATCAAAGATGAGAAATTGAGCAAATTTGCGGACAATGTGGAGGTCCACTTTGCCTCTAGAAAAAAAATTCAGATTTTGGCTAAGGCCAGAAACATACTTCTGCAATCTAGCTTCAGCCTTCCCCAAGTAAGAACGTAATTTGGATCTTTGTTAAGTATATGGTGATGTCTTGTCTATCAACCCAGCATTTTAATTTATTTATTTATTATTATTTTTTCTGCAGGATCATATCTCTAGAATTTCTGGGGTAAATAAAGAACAGGTTACGGATAGCATCCCTAATTACGTTGTTCTGCTGTTCGCATCAGAGAAGTGCATGGTATCTGATGCAGCTAGACAGTTAATGGAGCTTGTGCATCAGACCCTTAAGGTTAGTTTAGTTGTTAAAAATATACCATTGTACGAGACATGTTTGTGACTAAGCTAATCATACGGATATGGTATCATGAGGTAAAATAGAATCAGTTAGAGACTCAAAACTTTACCTAGAATTAGAGGTATAACAAAAAATATCAGGTTATATATGCCTGGACAATACAAGTGCTATCTTCTACACCAGGCATACAAAACTAGGGATGACAATAGGCCCGGATAGACCTGACCCAATCCATTTATTTGGCATTGGGTCCAATTATTCGGATATTGGATCGACTATGAGTCATATATTATATACTCTATTCGGGTCTGGTGCCTAAGAGCGGACCCCACTCGGAATCGGATCCGAATTCAACCCGATTAATATATTAATAATATATCCATAATATTTAAATAACTTTTTTTTTAACAATATAGTTATTTTAAAAATATTCTTTTTTGAGTTCTATTATAACATTTTTGAAATAAATATATAAATTATGATGTCTGTCAGATTTGGATCAGGTTCGGGTTAACTTTTTAAGAATTGCAGAGAGAGTGTGTGTATGTATTTAAGGTTTTGGTTTGATTTTACTATTCCAAAGTTTCCCCCCACCCAAAAAAATCAAATGAAACATCTAATTTTCATATATTATATTACACTGAAATTTAATTTTATATTCAAAACATAACGCCAACACATTTATGTCAAATTAAACAACTATTTCAATTCAAAATTTATTATTCAAAACCCATAACCAAAACCCCACAAACAATCGCGTATGTGGGATTTACCTCGTATCGGATTTGAGTATAGACAGGTTATAATTGGGTTTAATTCGGATTTTAGGTCTAATAATATGTATTTGGGTCGGATCTCAAGACAAATATTACCGATCCACTGCCATACCTATATATTATATATACACACAATTTATGTACTTGGGGTTGTTTGAGGCTTTGAGCCTTGCCGCCATTTTCCACTATATTTTGTATAAATATACACTATATTAACATTCTTTCATCATGCATTCTGAGTTCTTATCTCTGTGCAGGATGTGTGCTTTTTACCCCCAAAAATAGGGCTGGAATTTTACCACACTGCTAGAAATGCTCTGGTTCTCTACGAAGCTATCGTACCTGTGAAGGTTAGGTGAAGATGACATTTGAATGAATTGTAACCAACTTCAAGGCTTGGTTGATATAGGATACTATTATTGCTAAACTTGTCAAATCTTTCTATCCAACTTCCCTATATATGCCTATGATAGTTTAATGAACATTCGATTCCTTGATTTCTTCAGCTTCAAAGGCAACTTGATTCAATTAATCAGGCTGCTGTTCTCATTCACAATGATTGTCACTTCCTATCTCAGGAGATTCTCGGGCTTGCATTTGAGGTATGCAACTATTTGTGAATGAGTTTTGATTAATCTTGAAATATTTTGCAAAACATTTCTAGAATGATGGATGGTTGGCATTTGAAGTTTGATTTACTTGTCTCAGCATGAACAGACGCAATCTGCATTCCTATATAGTTCCTTTCTTTAACAACGTTAATGTTTTTCTCTAGACAACTTAGGCATCTGATTGACAGAATATGGTTGGATTGGGTTCCCTAACCAATTATGGTTTCGTCAAGAGTAGTACATGCATTTCAGCTTTCGTTCTGAAATATGTTGGCCCTGATATGATTTCTCCATTTCCTTTCTAATTTCCCTCCGTTGATTGTTCAATCATGGAAATAAAACCCAATTCCATTATCCTCCAAAGTTACTGCTTATAGATCAACTTTTTTGAACCTTAGGATGTAAAATCTAGGCCCGACAATGCATGTGGTAAAAAATACTCCCTCTGTCCCGCCACAGATGATCCATTTTCCTAATCTATACTATCTAAAAAACCGTGTCCCTAATAAAAGGGTTCATCCCTCGCGGGACGGAGGGAGTACATTCTTAGTGTTGTCCTTTTTGTCTATTTTTATAAGATGCCTTCTAATTTGCTCACATTTAATTCTCTCTAAAGTTTCTTTACTGTAAATGTCTCTCCTTCACTTCCACCGGCCACCCTCTTACTCTTCTTCTTCCCCATTCTAAGAAAAATAATTCTACATTTGTCTAGAGCTGCTGATTTCTTTTTTACAGTGTTGCACCTAGTAATGTAGAGTTGTTAACGAAACCGAACCGAACAGAATTTTGAATATTTGTGTTTGTGCGTTAACGTTCGCGAGCAAGACTCGTATTTGTTTGTTAAATATTAAAGCTCATTCGTATTGTTCGAGCTCAATTTGTTAAGAAATTTTAGTGTTCGAGTTCGTGTTTGTGTTCGACTCGAATAAGTTCGTTTGAGCTCGTTTAGATAAATATAATCTTTTATTTTGATGTTTTAATTCGTATATCTATAATTATTTAATTATTTAAAATTATTACTTTTATATACTTATTTTTATATTAACAATTCTATATATTTATTTACTTTTACGAACGTTAACGAACATTTGTGAACAAGGTTTGAGTTCGTTTATTAGCAAAACGAGTCTATTTATATTGTTTGGTTCGACTTGTTTACATTCGCGAACGAACTTACATTGAGTCGAACCAAGCTAAGTTCATAAATAGCTTGGTTCGTTTTGCAGCTCTACTAGTAAGTATCGATTAAGAGAAAGCTGCAATAATTTGATAGAGTTTCCTCAAAAGTGATAGCTGTTCGGTGTCCCTTTCTTCTATTTTACCGTGGGTTGCAGTGGCGCTTTTTCTTTTACTGAAAATTGTTAATGATGAATAGACGTTGAGTGAGCTCCGTGATGTTCCGAAGACAGACATACTTGTGTGGAGATGGAAATGACATCATGAGAGACTTGCTATTTCCATTCCAAATCATTTATATATTCAATAAATCCGAAACAATGATAATTTCTATTTTCTAACTTTGCAGTATCGCCCCTACTTCCCTAGCTCTGTGAAGGAGCTCACTGTTTTTGTAGATTTGGCTCCAAAATTTCAACTCATGGCTGAGGAAGTTTTGCAACGACAAATTAAGCTTGTCATTTCTAACTTGAACCAGGTAAGTTGACGGATCCATATGAAATTGCTGGATTCTATGCTGCATCTAATTAGAAATCAATTAGATTTTATTATATTACAATGCAATTTGTTATTTCTAGGCTATTGATGGTGCTGATGGATTTCAAAATACCCACATGAATAAAAAATTCGAATCTGCCAAGTTTTCGATCGATCAGGTACAATCACGATATGAAGAGACTTTTACTTACCATTCCAACCCCCCTGCATATTGCTTTTCTATTACCTACCAAATTTTGAATCCCAGTGGCGGTTGTTTCTTTAGTGTTTTTAATATAAAGTGTCTTATGTTAGGTATGGTGCAATGTGCCGTTACTATAAATAATAATATTTTGTTGAATTATTTGTGAGTAGATAAAATATATCATATATATATTGTGTATGTAATTATATACTTTCTCGTTTCTTCAAATTCATTTTCACTTTCCTTTTACGTTCGTCCATTAAATTTATCTTATTACTATATTTGGAAAAATAAAAAAGTCAATATTTAATTATTACTCTTCATTCAATATTTATTTACAACAAATACTACAAACTTTATTACCCTCTCTCTCTTCATTCTCTTTAATTACTAACTAAATTTTAAAAAATACCTCAAATTACTTTTTTACTTTTTCAATAAAATATTTATTTATTTTTTAAATTTCCGTGCCGAGCCCAAATGGGCTAAATATTGCGGACGGAGGGAGATTTTTTTTGATAACATTAATCGTAAAACATGTATGTTGTTTTGGTTGGGTGAACACACTGGTTACCATTTATTTTTTCAGGTGGCATTCATAATCGAGAAAGTGCACATAATTTGGGCGCCGTTGTTACTTCCATCTGTCTATGAGAAGAACATGGCCATAATTCTAGAGAATGTCTTTACAAGAATCGTGAAAGAAATACTCTTGATAGATGACATGGCAGCCGAAGAAACATTGCAGGTAATAAAGTAGGAATGTATTTGCAAATTTTATATGCAAATAATTTCAACAACACGAGGCTTATGTGCACATTTATTTGTATGTTATAGGCTTTGTTAACATAGATACTTTTGAAAGCTTTGGTACTGTTCGTCAACACTCGTTCTTTATTTTTTTAAAACATCACATCAAATAATTATTTATCTTATAATCAAATATTAAATTTTTATTATTTCCAAAATCCCAAAAATCTCTATGTAAAATGGAGCCTTAATATTTAGGATTATATGCATGTTACTTTTATGCAAATAATTTCAACAACACGGGCTTATGTGCACACGTTTATATAAATACTTTTTGAAGTTTTGATCCTGTTCATCAACAATTTTTTCAAAAGATATCATGTCAAGTAACAATTTTTTCTCACACAACATCAAATTACATATTAAACTTTTATTTTCAAATTTTTTCAAAACTCCATAAACCTCTATATAAAGAGAGCCAACATTTAGGATAATTTGCATGTTACTATTTCGATTGCGCAATATTTTCTTTCTTCCAGAAAAAGGAGGTTTAACCGCATATTTAACCATTAAGCTGAACTTTCTTAAACAGCTTCAGAAACTGATCCATCTACTGTTCGAGCATCTCACGTCTCTACTAGAACCTCTGCTGGCCATTCGGCTGAGCAAGAAGTCACTTGAATACCAAAAGGAGAAGGATGAGTTTATACTATCCATTTGGAAGTTGAGAAAGTTGGCAGGTACTAACTATACTAGTCCATTCTTCTCTCTTTTTTAATTTTTTTTATTTTTTTGGACATAGTCGATGATCTGCATATTCTTCCTATTGGTACAGAACTTTTGGATATGCCTTTGAAATCAATTACAGCTGCATGGGAGAACGGGGAACTTGCTGATTGTAATTTCACGACGTCTGAGGTACAATTTTTTTTTCTCAGTCCTCGATATTGTTTTGAAATATGCTTGCTGGGAAAGAATATTCAGATTTTGAAAATTTTTGAAAATAATAAAAAGTTTAATATTTAATGTGATTGTTTATGAGTAAAAAAAATAAAAAATTGATGTGATATTTTTGAAAAAGTTAATACTGATGAATATTAGCATTAAGTTATAGAGAAATGAACATTGTCTGTTACGGAATTGATACACAATGCACAAATAATCGAATGCTAATTTCATTTTCAGGTGGAAGATTTTATTCGCGCAATCTTTGCCGATTCCCCCTTGAGAAAGGAGTGCTTATTTAGAATTGAAAACTCGAACATAAGATAGGATAGAATATATATATATATATATATAATTAATTTTTAAGAAAGAGGGAAATGTTGTGATAAATATGAAGACAATGGAATGGCTGAATTTGATTCATTTTGTTAGCAGAGAAGATATATATATATATATTTATATATGCATTGGTAAATTATTGGCAGGTTATGGTTATGTAACGTATGTTTTTCCTTTTTAACTGGTTATGGTAAATTAAGCTTGGACTTAACTATATTTTAAGTACTCTCATTGATCCATTTGATTAGTGACAAGTATTTAAGAAAATAATATAATAGTGAGTTATAATATTATTTTATTATTATTTTTATATAATTAATAATATTGATAATTGGATAATAAATTTAATATATGTGATTAAAAGAATTAGAATATATATTTAAATATTTTAAAAATTATATTATTGATTTTTTGTTGAGGAGAGATAAATAAAAAAAATTTTGAGTGAATTCTATATAATTTATGATATTATATATTATGTAGTTGATTAACTTCATTTCTCACTACCGTCCAGTTCAGTTCCAGCCTGACCCATAGATAATCTTCCAGCCCTATCCGAATGATTTCCATCAAATATCCCTGTCCAGTCCAGATCACCCGGTCTTCTATATTCAGTCTAGGGAAATGTCGCAGCAATCTTTGGTTGAAATTCACCCACTGCTCATTTTTCCACTTCCATCCTGTTGGGAAAAGAAAATTCAGGAAACTAAGAAAAAAGGGTTACCAGGAAGCTGTCAAATCAGATATTTTACTAAAGAATATGCATACACATATTAATACATAAATATTTATAGTCTAATGTCAATAATACTTCAATCATATCTCTACATTTAGGAAATAATATCCAAATCATATCCCTAAATTTTAGAATATATTCAGACTTCATATCCCAACAATCTTCCGGTTGAACACAACCTCAATACATCTAAGGTCACTACTTTACACTACAAAAAAAATATCAATTTTGTAACAAATTTTTTTCGTTCTTAAATCCACTTTTTTCCGTTACTAATGATATTAGAGACGGAATTAGGGCTGGAATTACGTTAACTACGTGAACTTTAAGAACGGAATTCCGTTACAAATATACTATTTTTTTGTAGTGTTAGGTTGCCTTTCATGATTGCTCATAAATCGGCTCACTACTCCCACCCCCGCTGCATGTGCTTTCCATTTCCTAAAAGTATCAAAAACATCATATTTACGCTCAAGGAAGTATACACATACCTTCCTTGTAGCGTCGTCAATGAACGCAGTGTAGTGTTGTGAGTCTCTAAGGGTCGATACAGGAATTAGTCTCCATAAGTTTGTATGGACCAACTCCAAGTTTTCTTTTTTCAGGTCTCTCCCACATTTCTCTGCTTTTCAAAGAACCAGTCCTCGTATACTCCAATATCAACGGACTTGAGACCTGACAATCTTTCCTTTGAAATAAGCTCCCCTATCCCTTCTCGCTTATGTGTCCAAGACAAAAATGCCATAAGTTTGTGTCATTATTTATGGCCACGAAACCGATTCGGTCTCAAATGTTTTTGGTCATGTAGAGAGTTCCATATTTTCTCATTTGAGTCACCATAATGGATTCCTTGGTTACTTTCCACGAATTAATGTAAAAAAACATGTTGAATAATCTGCCTCATCCAATTGTGCTACGGGAATCAAATTTCGTTTCAGACCCGGGACATACCTCACGTCATTCAATTTCCACTTCTCTTTATTCGGTATTCTGATTCAAATCATCCACTTACTTACAATTTTCAATGGCTCGTCATCTACAAGATAGATAACACCAAAATTACATACAGTATAGGATTCCATAATTCCTAAATCACTGCATGAGTGGAATGACACTCCCGAGTCTAAGATCCATGACTCCATTGGACTGCTGAAGCTCAGAATCATCGTATTGGATATCTCCTCTACTATGTTTGCCGAACCCTGATCGTTCTCTGGCGCCTTGCACTATCGTTTCAAGTGCTCTTTGCAGTTCCAACATACCATCTGACTTGCATCTTTCTTGTCCTTGTTTTTCGGCTTTGACTTTTACCATTCTTGATATTGATCCTTTCATTTCACCTAAGATCTCTACCTCTATTTTCGGCACTAATGACAGATCCAGATCCACATTTAGTATTCTTACTAGAATTTCTTCGGATATCCTCGTTCAAGATTAGATCTCTAACTGCATCAAACTTCATCATCTTGTTCTCCGAAGAAGCTGCACTAAAGGGTGTTACTACCGAATCCCAACTATCGGGCAGAGATGATAGCAAAATTACGATTTCGATCTTTGAATTAAACTCAAGATTCACCGACCGCAATTGCGTAGTGATCAGGTTGAATTCATTAAGATGCACAATAACAGAAGTCCCTTCAACCATCCTCAGGTTGAACAGTTTTCGCCTCAGGTAAACCTTGTGTGCAACACGATTGTTCGTACGTATCGACATGATTCTTAAAATCTCCAATGTCGATTCCGCATGAACCGTGTGAAACGAGACATTCTATGAAAGGATTAGTCGAACCACACTCATTGCCCTTCATATTGATCTTCTACCATGTCTTCGAGTTTCTTCGTCAATGTTGCATCTAGATCATTACCATACAGTTAATCTTTTATCTGCATCTTCTAGAAACTAAAGTTCATTCCATTGAATACTTTGATAGCAGGACGATTACCCATCTTGACTCCACTCAAATGAACTTAAGGCTCTAATACCAATTTTTAAAATTTTTTAAAGAAATCAAGAAAAGACAAACAAGAATATAAGAACACAAGAATTTGGTTACCCAGTTCGATCGGAATATCTACGTTTGGGAGCGCTATCAAGCCATGAATTTTACTAAAGAATACGTAGACACATGTAAAAGTATAAATATATGAATATTTTTAGCCTAAGCCTATGCCGATAATACTCCAATCATATCTCTACATCTAAAAAATAATATTCAAATCATATCTAAATCATATTCAAATAATATCTCGAAATTTTAGGTTATAATAAGACTTGATATTCCAACGTACCTTTCCACTTCCCAAGAACCAAACTCATAAACCAAAAAACTCATTTTCAGTGCAAGTGCAAAAATTCTTGGGAATTGTGTTTTCAAAATCATATTGCCAGCCCACGGATCATCCCAAAATTGCGTTCTTTTGCCATCTGCCAACAAAATTTCAAGAACCTGATTTGAATGACAAAGATTTTCAAACTATTTCTATTTTTTTTGAGATTGAATTCCACATCGAACCATACCTTGTTCTTGTAATGAATTTGGCAACCACCTTGATTCCGACGGGTTTCCCCTCGCCGAAGTTCCAATTATCACTTGTTCCCAAAATTCATTATTTTTTCTGAAATCTCCATTTTCATTTGTATAGAAAAGTCATATTGAAATCACGGAAATCTCCTATCCTTCTGTGTTCCCCCAGAAGAAGCTTCTTTTTATTTCTTCCAATTTGTTGGCCACCGCATCACATGGAATACGAAAAATTGAAGAGGCATACTGCGACAACATCTTTCCATTCCATCCAGTGATTGAACTTTATCAATAATTGGCTTTCATATCATTGTTCCTACCCCCAATAGGAACTGAACTCCAACATACTGATACGGACACCCCAAGATTTCTTTCGCTCTAACAAGCTGAGATTCCTCAAGGTTTACACCGAATCCTTGGCTCTTTTTCAAAATTCATTTTCACTCCCTTGCATATACGAAATATCCCAAGAATCCTCTTTATATTCGTTAAATTCTCTTCTTCTGCTTTGCATGGAAAGGATAGTGTCGTCTGCATATTATATTGGATGTGATTCACACTAGTCCCTCGTCTTCCAGTTTTAACTCCTTTCAGAACACCCATATTACATGCTCGATTGATCAGAGCGCAAAGAATTTCTGCCACCGGTAAAAAGAAATAAGGCGATAAAGGGTCCCCATCTATGATGCCTTTGCGACAGGGAATTCTTTTTATGATTTTTTTAGTGTTAAAAATATTAATTTTTATATATTTATATAATTTGTTTTTTTAAAATTATTTAAATTTATATATAATTTTATTATTATTTTTATTTAAATATTGTTAATTAAATATTAAATAAATTATAATATTTTACCCCCAAAATTTAGATAAATTTAAATGCTATTTTCATCGCTGATTTTCAAATAGGTAAGAAATTAGTGGGCGAACCATTTATTAAAATACTATATATATATATATAGTATTTGTATGTATGTATGATATATGTATGTAATATAATATATATGCAATGATAGTATGTATGTATGTATATATGAATTGCGTAGAATGAAAGAAGCAAGCATGAGAGAATTTAATGCAGCAGACATGAGAAAATTAAATGCGAAAGAATAAAATTGAAATATAATGCGATTGCAGTTCGTTTCATTCCGTATATATTTATAGATACATGAAACCTTCACACGAAGGAAACAAAAAGCAGCCACAGTACCACGTAATTGCTACGCGTACATTTTGTAACAGATAAACAATATTCCAGAAGATAAGCCCAATTTGCAGAAATAAAGAAACACTGATAGGGATAGAAGAGAAATAAAAATTTACTTATTTACTCTTTAATTTAACATTAATTATTAGATTAAAATATAATTTAATGGATAATAATTAATCATCACAATGTTAATTAACCTTAATCAGCAGGGTAACGGTCGCCTTTTATGTTAGTTGTAAACATATTATTAAAATATTTGTTTGTTTGATTTTGATTAAAAATTACTTAATTAATTAATTAAAATAATATTTTAATATAATATTTTATAAAATAAAATATATAAACTAAATAGTATTAATTTATATTGAAACCAAAATTTGGGTTTCAAATACAAACAAATACACACCCATATTTTTAACCGTAAACAAGGACATGTTTCTTGTTATTATCATTATCTAAAAGAATGTATCATTCAATGTTCATTTTTGTAAAAATATTTTTAAAAATACTCTTAAAAATACAATAAAAATTATAATAAAACCAAAATACAAGCAAACACAAAGATATTTTGAAGGATAAATTGCATAATATTATGTTGTGTTTTAGTTTAAATACA